CTACCCACATTGTCCTGACAGGGGTATCCCCCCACCTACCCACATTGTCCTGACAGGGGTATCCCCCCACCTACCCACATTGTCCTGACAGGGGTATCCCCCCACCTACCCACATTGTCCTGACAGGGGTATCCCCCCACCCACCCACATTGTCCTGACAGGGGTATCCCCCCACCTACCCACATTGTCCTGACAGGGGTATCCCCCCACCCACCCACATTGTCCTGACAGGGGTATCCCCCCACCCACCCACATTGTCCTGACAGGAGAATCCCCCACCCACCAAAAACCCACACCTCTAGGCTGAGACAAAGAAGTCTGCCACCAGTAGAAAGTTTGGATTTATCTGCCCAGTGTAAGAGAAAAATGGGATCGTGCAACCTAAGACATTATAAACATCAATAACACAATAATGCTGATGAAAAAAATCTTGGTGACAGGTTCAAGTGATGGCAGGACCAGTCCTCTTCACACCGGAAGAGTTCAATAATGATAATCACATCATCCCTTTTTTTTTTACTCTGTGATGTTTATTTCCAGTCTGAGGACAAGTAATGAAGGAGCGTGTTTCTTGATGTATATACTCCTCAGTACTTACATCCAGTACATAAGTTGCTGTAATGACTCTATCTAATCATTATGTGACAGAAAAGCACTGACGTACACTGTATAATTCTGATAGGTACTCATGGCTAAATGCCCAAGAGGAAATTGCCCTAGATACTTTTTTCCCCGAGAACAAGTGGAGAAAAATTGTATATTTGCCCTAGATTGTATGTCTCAAGAACTAAATATCAGCCATTTCTCATATACCTCCTCCAGATCTCAACAAAACCAAATATTGCTTCAGAATATATTTGATTTGAAATTAAAACTTTCCTAATTCCTGCAAGGATTATGTCCTTTCAGGATGCTGGTTCTACTCGTTTTGACAAAATAAATTCTTGATCAAAGTTAATGTTCAATCAAATCTTCAGATTTCTCATGAATTCTCATTCCTTAAATCAAAATAGTAATTTTTGTGAAAGGCAGATAATTTCTAAGAACCATGATCTCAATAAATGTGTGAAGATTTAATTACAAGTGGGAGTGGGTCACTAATTAACATCTGGCTATGTCCAGGCCACATGGCATCCCACTTAACTTTCATCTAAATTACAGACTAATGGTCTCTAGCATTTGTTGCCATTTATAAACTGCAATTAATTCTTAGGCAGGGACTTATTATCAGACAATTACGGTATTACATGTCTGAAACGGTGAAATCCAGTTTTTTCATTTTACATGATGGAACATAGCACAACTGGTTGTGATACATTCTATATAAGAGAATCCATTTGCAAGTTTTCACCAACTTTACAAAAAATGTATCCTATCATAACAGAAAAAAGGTCATCAAATGAATTTCAAAACAGCAAAAATTATCTTTGTATTGAAAAATTCCCTAAGGCATTTCCTTGACTGAAAAATATATTATTCAAATTTTAATTGAAAAAATCCATTATTTAAATTTTGCAGGAAAAAAATATATTAGAACTGATATCATTTGAAAATTTTGACAAAAATGTGTGATGTTTAATCATGACTTTTAATTGGCATGCAGAAATAAATCTGTTTTTTTTTAATTGTTATCAGTCCCAGAAATATTCACAAGCAATATAAATGTTTAAAGATTAGACTTTGATACTGTTAACCATTTCACATCTCCATCATTAAAAAGGATATATTTGAAAACGAAATTCAACATGTAACAAATGAAAAGCTAAACATGCTTTTCCTAAAAGTGATGATAAAACTACCTAAATTGAACAAGGAGAGAAAATTTCATTTCAATTAAGTTTACTAAATAACTTTTTATCCTTTGTGTTGGTAATGCCCAATATTCTAAATCCAATGAAGATGATTTAGCAGTACTAAGCCAAACATTAGATTACTAGCTTCTCCCTACAGAGCATCACCCTACCAGACATTCTGTCAGCGCTGCCAGATTCCATTATAGTACTCACACAGAATACACTCAGTCTCCTCACAAATTTTGGTTGGGCACTCTCACAGTTTCTGCACACAACTGTGTTGGATTCAGCCTTTTCTATAAAGCTCAAATCTTTACTTGTCTGATGGCACTTAATCAATTCCTAACTCATCTACCATTCTCTTATCCTTCAACCTCTCCTCCAAGGTTCCCCTACCTCTTCTACCCCTCATCTACATTTCTCTTATTCTTTGCCCTTTCCTCCAAAGTTCCCCTACCCCTTCTACCCTTCATCTACAGTTCTCTTATCCTTCGACCTTTCCTCCGAGGTTCCCCTACCCCTTTCACATCTCCTCTGCACTTCTCCTATCCTTCGACTTTTCTTCAAAAGATTCCTTACCCTTCAATTTCTTTCCCAATGTTCCCTTTTCCTGTCAATACTTTCCCAAGGTTCCAATTCCAATGCCCTTCAATCTCTTCAAGCCTTTCTCCAAGGTTCCCCTACCTTTCTATCCTCTTCTTCAAGCAAGGTCCCCTACCTATTCATTCTCTCCTCCAAGATTTCAAGACCTCTTCATTGCCTCTCCAAGGCTCCCCAATCCTCTCTCCACTGATCTGCTGTCTCTCCAACCCTTCCCTTTGATTCCAATACCCTTCAACCCCTTCTCTAAGGTTCTCCTTTCCTTTCAACCATTCCTTCATGGGTCATCTACCCTTCAATACCTTTTCCAAGGTTTCCCTACCACTTCAACCCTTCCTCTGAGGTTTCTCAAAACCTCAAACTTTTTTTTATCAACAATATCTCTGATAAACTCTGCCTTTTGTGATCTTCTTCCCTGAAGAAATTTTAAGCTTCAAATTAATTCAATACAATCAGTTTCCTGTCAACATTTGAGAATTTTAATACATGTTTTAATTTAAATATAAACTTTATAACACAGCAACAATGAAATGAATACACAAAGGTAATTTACTGACAGAAACATTTCTCATTTCAAATGTAAATGTCATACAATATTGTCATCAAGTTAAGTTGCCATGACAACAATAGTCAACTGGAAAATACATTTTAAAGTTGTTTGACTGCCTTGCCATGGCAACACATTGGAAATAATGAAAACCAAGAAATGCATTAACCCTATCTAGACATCTGATCTAAAGATGCTTGATCACCATAGAGACAGACATCTCTAAAAAAGGAATTTTTAATTCAACGTAAGATAAAATAATGTATACTGTCAGAGACAATGTGATTCGAAGGCTGACAGGACTAAATAAAATCCACTGTTATCTTTCTGTCAACATCTGGGGAAATCACTACAGAGATAGCAGATGGAGTCAAATTAGATGCGTTCAGACACCTTTAATACATTCCAATGCTGCAGTAGAATTGACAGTGTAAAACAAGGTCTCTTTTGACTACAAAAATCTAAAACATCAGGAAGAAAAATGGATTAACTCCAACAAAAACTTCTAAAGGGAAATTGGTTTTTATATGATACAATATGAAACAAGCAGCTTTCTTGTCAACTACTGTCAAAATGATATTTATCTTATCAGTTTTGACTCCAAAGGCTCTGAATTCAAGCCCTCCACTATTTTTCTAAGTCTTAGGACAATGAATGTTAGATGAAAAAAGTTTTGTTTTATTTTATTATTTTTTTTTCAAAATTCAATTTCCACTGATCAAAATTTATAACATTCACCAGCCAACCCTGTAATTCACTGTAATATGTACCAGCAAAACCCCTGTAATTTACCATAATATTAACTAACAAACCCCCTGTAATTCACCGTAATATTCTCTTGCGAAACCCCTGTAATTTAATGTAATATTCACTATCAAACCCCCTGTAATTTACCGTAATATTCACTAGCAAACCCACTGTAATTTACCGTAATATTTACTAGCAACCTCCCTGTAATTTACCGTAATATTCACTATCAAACCCCTTGTAGTTTACACTGACCTTCACCAAACCAACAACAATGATAACCTTATAAAGCAACTGTTAAAAATCCTATACTGTATTTCATTTCCTGCATTTTTACCACACAGGCTCTATATGTGGAATCCACTCCACCAAGCTCACTTCAAACTCAATTTGTTCTTTTTGAGAAATTGTGCCAACTGGACGTAATGCTAGTGGGCATCAGGACTGTTAAACAAGATCAATAGATTACTAACAAAAAAAAACTTTGTTTTCCTGGTTGACATCTCCGAGAGGCGAAATATTACCAAACTATAAATTTAATACCAGAAAACTGATCTAACTAAAGAGGAGTCTGAACAGTAATCTGCCATGGTATGATGACTCTTTAGAAGATAATTATACCTATTGTACTAACATTACACTACTACAATACTACTTTATTGCTACATCAAACCAACTAGAAACATTGATGAATACCCTTGTCTATACGTATCCATTAGTGATTTGTGTAACTGTTCCTATTGATTTTTGCTTTTTACATTTTACAAATTGTGTTTTAGTCTCTGATACTGACCTGTGCCCTGCTAATTCAACAATATGCCTGTTACTGATCATAGGCCTACCTTTTTAAATTTAAGTTCTGACGTCATTCAATTGTCTTGTGATAAGCCCATTCCCTGAATTTGAATAAGTTTTGTGCTGGGCTCCTGTATTTCTTGTACAAATCAAATACTGTTAAATCATTAATTTTTGTTGGAGATTTATTTTCAATGACTTCACTGGTATTATCAATCAAAAAATGTATATGTCAACGAAGTGTAAAAATCAATATAAGCTCACTTATTGCGCTATATTTATCCAGAAAAATTGAGTGTCTTTTCAAAAACCACAAAAATAGCGCCCCACAAAAATATTTGATTTTGCAGTATGTTAAAGAGCAACATATTTAGAGATTCAGGATTGACATCTTATACTATTCATGCTAACACTATTCAGTTTTTTCCAAACAGAAAGAATTCTTACTGCTATGTCTCTGTTGTTTTACATTTATTCCAAAGGTTATGAGTCTTAAAATGTTGATGTTATCTTTACAGGGGCACTAAGCCGGAGCATATGAAGTTTTCAGCATTTGGAAAGCTTGGAAGATTCCAGGACCAACTTAGAATGGTGAACCACTCTGGACGTCGGAAAAACAATAGTGCACTGGCTATCATTGCAGAACTCGGATCTGAAAGCAATGCTCATGGGCTGGCAAAAATAGCAACATCAACAAAAACAAAGAGAAAAGTCATGTGGGCTTTACTTGTAATTGTGGGATTTACGGCGGCCACTCTTCAACTATCCTTACTTGTACGGAAATATCTTTTGTTCAACGTTGTGGAAGTATCAGAAATGAAGGATGGAATGCCGGTTGAATTTCCATCAGTGACAATATGTAACACACATGCAATGTCTTTGACAAAATTGAAAGAACGATTTGGAAAAATTCAAGATTACGGAGATTGGTTTTCATTTATCGATAGAGTGTCGTTTGGTGAGCAACAAACACGCGTAGAATCAACACAAGGTTTCTACGAGAACATGATGTCCGAGGCAACCATTATTGGGCATGACATTAATGAAATCCTTGTTCACTGTCAATTCAATCAGAAGAACTGTTCCGCAGCAAATTTCACGAAACATTTTGATGGGAAAAATTATTTCAATTGTTACACTTTCAACAGTGCTCAAGACCAGGATCCCAACAATAAAATACTTATGCATGCAACTGGGCCACAAAATGGTCTTTCAATGGTTATTTCCCTTGATAATGATGACCCGCCACTAGGTGCCTTCGGTCTGTACAATATTCATGACAACATTGCCCACAGTGCTGGTATACGGGTCCAAGTCCATGCCCCAAACACCATGCCAAGTCCGGTTGACCACGGATTTGATGTCCCACCTGGATTTTCATCTTCGGTTGGATTAAAAGCTGTTATGCATTCGCGTCTTTCATCGCCGCATGGAAACTGTACCATGGACATGTTAAAGGGGATCAAAAGCTACAGAAATACAATCTTTTCCTGTCTCTTGCTGTGCAAACAACAAATTGTGATCAAGACATGCAATTGTAAATCGTCCGGTCTCCCTGATACACAGGATGGGCTGAATTATACATACTGTGGTACGATTCACAACTGGCAAGGACGTTACCAGAACCTTAGTCAGTTACCTCTACATGAAAAGGTAAATTATAACTTGGAAATGTTGAAATGCGAGGAAGAAACTTTAAACAAACTGGCAAATGATAGATCTTATGAACGAGGATGCAAGTGTTATCAACCATGTTCGGAAACCTCTTATCAAAAGTCACTGTCACTTTCTTATTGGCCTCTGGAGTTTTACCAGTTGGATGCATTGGAGAAATTCTATAATGACCGAATCAATAAAACATTTATGCACGAAGCATATGAATATCTGCAGGAACATATTGAAAAATATTTTAGTCTGTTTCAAAATATGACAGAAGAGAATCGAAATAAATTAGTAAATACAGATATATCACTGGAAGAACGTCAAAAAATTCTCCGGGCCACAGAATTGATACACCAGAATCTGCTCCGTCTTAACATCTATCTTGAGGATCTTAGTGTGGTAGAATTCAAACAGATGCCCGCGTATGAACTCGCCGATTTATTTGCGGATATTGGCGGAACACTGGGTCTGTGGATGGGAATTTCTGTACTGACTATCATGGAACTCATGGAACTAGTAGTAAGACTGATTATGCTCTTGTTCAATGCTGAAAACAAGATGCCAGATCATATGGATCCAGTGACCAATGGTATGTTAGATCACACGGACAACTACCCTGATGCTTATCAAAAGACCGACTTCGATGGATTTGACAGAAATGAATATGGCCAGTCGGAAGGGTTTGAGAGAAGTGATTACAGAAGTCGATCAGAAGGTTTTGAGCGAAATGATTACGGGCGGCCAATGCGGGACAACTCACATGATCTACCTATATGATGGACACAGGTTTTATCTTGTGTTGTTATTTCCTCAGCAGGTAATGACCAATTGTAACTGATTGGTCAGTCAGCTGAAGCAAGCGGCAGTGCCTCATCCAATCAAGATTGATTGTACTGATAGCACAGTTGGACACAAGAGTGGCCCATGTCTGTGATAATACTTGGTATTTGACATGGCATATTTCCCATTCAATGGAATGTGCACCTGCCAGTCCAACTTGTCTGCTAGCATGACAGTGTTAGAACATAAAAGTACCATCATGTTTACAGGCAGTGGACACCACTGATCAAAACAACGCCTTACCATGTTGTTCTGTCAAAGTCAACGAAACTAAAAGTCAAATGGATCATCTATGGCAATAACTACAGAAACAACAAACATATAATCATACTCGTTAATCAACTTTCTGTGGATTTACTTGTGTATTTTACTCCCATCATATTGCTTCATTTGGTAAAGAAAATGGTAACCATACCTTAGTCACACATTTGAAACATCACAGTATACATAAATTGATTATCATTATAATAGTGTAAAGCAGATGTCACCATGGTTATATACAAAATGTTTGTCATGATGACAGTGCTGAATAATTGTCGTCTTGGATATAAAAAATGGATAACCATGGCAACAGTGCAAAACAGTTGTCACCATGGATATACAAAATGGAATACCATGGCAACAGTGCAAAACAGTTGTCACCATGGATATACAAAATGGATTACCATGGCAACAGTGCAAAACAGTTGTCACCATGGATATACAAAATGGATTACCATGGCAACAGTGTAAAATAAAATTGTCATTTGGGATATATAACATGGTTTACAATGGGAAAAGTGTAAAATAGTTGTCACCTGGGATATACAAGTACATATATATATATATTATGGTTTAGGGTATCCAGAGTGTTCAATACTTGTTACCTAGGATGTGATAAATTTCTATGGTAAGGGGCAACTATCATCTTGGCTATGATAGTAACAGTCACACAGTTGTCACCAAATGGATGCATACTTTGCTCTGTATCATTGTCGTCTTAAATATATTTAAGATGAATTTGAAGTGTCATACAATATCTCAGGCTTTATCTAAAACAACAACAATGACAAATATGTCATTATTTTTTCATTCATTTGGATTTACAAAAATTGATTCCATGGCAACAGAGTAACCAAAGTGCTATATCCACTATATAATATTTTGTCAACAGACTATTACCGAAACAAGTGGTAGTGAGGATTAACTTTTTCTTGACAAATGATTAAACAGATTTCAGATATAGACATACACCAACTAGCAATCTTATAAACATTACCAAAGTCATTGTGTATATGAAGAATAGTATCATTTTGAGTGAATGGTGTGATTTAGAATTTTAGTTATTGTGTTGAAATGTGAGATACTCTTTTGCAGAATAATTCTCTTTGTCTTTCATATCACTTCATCATGAATTCATTCTGAGCTTTAAACACATTACTTCCTTCACATGTGACATCAGAGATATGGCATAGTAAAAAAAAGATATAAGATAACATTTATGTCCAGTAACACGAGATGTCTGACCAACATCATCATAAAAATCTAGTAAGATGTAAGCTGTCAGAACTACATCATCATTAAGATAAAAAAAGGACATAAGATATCTGATCTACATCATCATTAACACCAATTAAGATGTGAGAAATCAGACATATGCCATTAATAGAATAAAGTAAGAGATATTACAAATAATATCTAAGGATGAAAATTTCATCCATCAATTCACACCTACAGTGTTTGTTACATCTAGCTGGTCATAAGATACATAGATATCAGTGTTTATGATATCACAACATATACATGACTTTTAACCTCAAGTCAGTCTTTTTAATTATAATGAAACTTAATATAACAGACTGACCTTGACCTCTCGTCACTCAGACTGACCTTTGACCTCTCGTCACTCAGACTGACCATTGACATTTAAACTTACCTTTGACTTTCAGTCAATTGAATACAAGTGCTATTGTTACAGACTGACCTTTAACTGATCTCCAGTGGCTTAGATTGACCTTTGACCTTCAGTCAATTAGAATGAACTTTGACCCTCAGACACTTAAATACACCTTTGACCTTCAGTCAATGAAATCTAAATGCTTACTGTTGCAGACTGACCTTTAACCTCTAGTTGCTCATACTGGAATTTATCTTCCAGTCATTCAGACAGAAAAAAAATATTCAGTCATTTGAATGCTTCTTTTGCTGACTGACTTCATTTATATTTTAAGATAAAAACAAAAAAGTGAATTTTGACCAGTATGGTGAAAGGTTTGACAGCAATTCACTAAAGGAATGGAATTCAAACCATTTCTTAAAACTTAGTTAAGGTCACAAACAACATAATCAATGACTCTATTGGAAAACATGAGCTATCAAATATATAGTTAAAATTATTCAAGCTTTCACTTTACCAATTGAAATGTTGGCTCAAAATAAGTTTTTCTTAAGCTGTAATATGGAAACGAAACTTTGGAATATTTGTTGAAACTGGAAAAATTTAGATCAAAGTTCATCGCTATTTACATTTATACAATGTGATTCTATAGACTTGTAGGTGTCATTAAAGAGATTGAAGAATGGAGTCATGTGTTCAAATATTGTCTCTTCACATCAAAAATTTTAATTGCTGTGAGTAAAGAAGAAAAAAAACACATAAATCTCAGGAAACAATTATTCTGTACTCAGAATGAATATTTCTTCAAACAAAAACTTGAACAAGTCATTTTTGTATATTGATACACTTGATTCAAAGTTTCAGTCAAAATTACTTGACAAATAAAGAACAGCGAAAAAGATCCCTTGAACCTTTTAACGCTTATCTCACAGCAAATACTGCCATTTTCCATTGCAAAAAACCTCCCAAGGAATTTACTTGGATGTTCAGCATATAAGACAATGTTTCCACAGAATACTCAACTAAGTTTGTTGCTAGGTACATTTCAATTACTGAAAATCAATACCATGCATTTATCTGTGTTAAACTAGGTAGACTGTAATTCTGTGTAACTGCTAAATAACATTCATACATAGAATTTTCTTTATCAACAATCACAGAATATTTCCAAATTTAAATTAATCAGTTGTAGTTTGGTTTCGCTGTAGTGTTAGGGTGTCTACCGAATTCACGATTGAGTGGAAATATTTGAAATAAATGGTCATTAAGTACAGCACAATATATGATTATATGATTTGTTCATCAAAAACAGAATGGATCATTAAACACACATTACCACATACACCATTGGCATTCAAAGTGGGCACATCCAATCAGTTTTAACCAATTGCCACAACAAAGAGCTTCTAAACAGTGATGATCTGGATTATAGGTTAATGTCTTATTTTTTTTCTAGAAATTTGTCGGGCTTTGAGTTTATCAGAAATTTTGGTTTACAAAAGAAATCTTTTCTACAGGTTTTGACAATTTGACCTCTGAGACTTTGAATCTTTTCATTTCTTCTTGCAAAACTTGTCAGGCTTCTTTCCGGAAACTTATCAGTCAAATACCACACTTCTGGGCCTTTTGGTTAGTCAGATGGAGTTGTTGAAATGTTTTAACAAATTTGACCCCTGTGACCTTGATTAAGGGTAAGTCATATCTGGCCCTTTGGTGAACTAATAGATTTATAGTGATTTACATTAAAGGATTAGAAATTATATATCAGGACAGGCCCACAGACATGTATTGATTGAGTACAGTGTGCATTTCCTTTGCATCGCGTCACTCGCACCGAAACCAATAGAGCACTGGCTGATATTCACACAAGATAAAAATATGGAAATCGGACAAAGTTCACAGATTACAGAAGCTGAAAATTCCATGATGTCATCAGGAGAAGGACAACTACTACCTTACCTCTATAACTAATACTAGGACTGACTGACTCGCATTTAATCCTTAAACCTATGTTGAATTTCTTGACATCAATGATTTAAATATTTGATCCTCAAACCAATATGTCACATACAAGTGATGACATGTTTCACATACTTGGTTGCATCATTAACGACATGCCTTCTCTTCAGACAAGTTTGGGTATAAAGGTGTATTCATAGGGATCCTTCAGCTGATTAGAATCTTAAAATTTTCATCATTTTTATTTGTAATTGTTATATAACACAAATGCAACATCTATATAAAAAAGTTTTCTCGTGCGTTCAATTCTTGTCATCCTTTGCAAGTACTACACATCTAAGTCTCAAGCAATGACATTTTTTAATTTCCTGCTTTAAGATCGCATTGTCTAACGATGGCATTGTTAAAATGTCCAGTAACTTGCTTGTCAAGCTACTGGATCCGATTACCTGAATTAGAAGTTTCAAATAGAAAATCTCTAAATTACATGAGTGTCACAGCTCCTATGCAAACCAGAATGTGATGAGGTATAGGACTTGAGGTTATGATACTATGTAACAGATCAGATGAGAGGTTGGGATTAGGACAAGACCTGAGTAGAAATGATGTCAAGGACAAATAGGATCTGTTACCTGTATGTGTTTGACATTGACTTACCACACACTGTAACAAAATCTCGTTTAAGACGAAGCCTTATGTATATTCTAATGGCATATTCCTATGCTTTAACAGTTTATGTGAACATCTTCAGTGTGAACTCTGGAGATGTTACAAGATGTCGTCACAAGACTGAGATAAATAGATACATAATTTGTTTATGTGAACATCTTCAGTGTGAACTCTGGAGATGTTACAAGATGTCGTCACAAGACTGAGATAAATAGATACATAATTTGTTTCATTTCAAATTTTTTTTCATTCTGACAGATAACCTCCCTTTAGGTTTATACTACAGAATGACAAATAAATATGTAGGCATTATGACATCACATGGTGTGAAATATGACATTATGATATCAGACAGATCAGACAGCACTGAAAAATCTAAACATGGATAGCATGTGAGATATTTCCCTGTCTCATTAACAAGATATAAGAACAGGGACACACAATTCTATATAGATTTGAATGTGGCTAGAACATGAACACACAACTCCATATAGATTTGAATCTCATTAGAACAAGGACACACAACTCTATATAGATTTGAATGTGCCTATAACAGGGACACACAACTCTATATACATTTGAATCTTGTTAGAACAAGGACACAAAACTCTATATACATTTGAATCTTGTTAGAACAGGGACACAACTCCATATAGATCTGAATAATGTTAGACACACAACTCTATGAAGATTTTAATCTTGTTTAAATAAGGAAACATAACTCCACATAGATTTTAATCTTGTTAGAATAAGGACAGACAACTCTATATCAATTTTAACCTGGTTAGAACAAAGGCATACAAATCAATATAGATTGGATCTGGTCAGAACAAAGGTGTACAAATCTATATAGATTGGATCTGGTCAGAACAAAGGTGTACAAATCTATATAGATTGGATCTGGTTAGAACAAAGAAACCAGGTCCATGACCCCACCAACCAATAGTTGTTTAGTTACGGTAAAAACCTGCATAATGTACACAGTACTTTCTGGCAATATTGCACTTGCATAATGTAAGCACCCAGAAGGCAAGAAACTGATCTCAGAATGTTCAGCTAACATGTCAGACCAACCATATAAAGTCCAAAACATGAAATTATTCAATTCACACATTGTTTTCATCTCATTTACTGACTTTTAATAACCTTCTGTATAATTACAGCCTAATGTTTGTGCATTTTCTTGTCTGTTTTCTTTGACATCAGACATGTCTCGATGTCATTAACTGACCTGTCCAATTATCCCTTATTTATCTTACGTACACAAGCACTTGTCTTACCACTAGCCTTAAACAACAGTGTTGAAACTACAGGTACAAGTCATCACCTGATATCTACCTAATCATGACCAAACCAGGTAAATATGATCTCCGCCAGTCAACTTTTCTTTCATGACTAGCTGTCACATCGAGCATGCACCGGCTGACATATTTTGAGGCCCCAACTCTGTATATGTAAGCAAGTGGTGTAAAGAGCACGGAATGGAATCACACAGAATGTTCTTTAGACGTGCATATGTGTATTGTCAAAAGAAGATCAGCGTTAAATTACACGCTTTGGTAGGATAATCATGCAAAGACTTTTCCCCCTTTATCATTAGACGGTATACGCTTTGTAAGCATCAATAAGATCAATATTAAAATAAATAATTAATCTAATCCACAGTCCAATAATAAGTCTCAATCCACACTCCACATACTAATATGTCAATACTAACGCACACAAATCACATGAAAACAGACACCTGCTCATAGCTTCTGCTTCATCATGATATCCGACATGAGGGAAAATAAAATGAAACCTTACAATTTCTTAACAGTTGAACATGTAAGTGTTTCAAATATAAACCAATCATAACTGATATATTTTTATTGTGCCAAACAGGCCACTGTGTAGCCCATTGTTAGTTTTCTGTCTTCCTAGTTGCTATCACGTTTTCAAAGACTTCGTCCAGGTTTTGCATGATACTGACTCTAATAGTTTGCATTAATACATACAGTAATCATCTTATTCACTATCTTAGATCATAAATAAATTGTCAAATCCTTTTTGTGTCAGTTTTAAGTACCAGATAATCCTGCCAAACAATGATGATGACTTCACACAATCTCTGATTCTTCCATGAAAACAAATCCTTTGGACATTAATTTTCTCAAAGCGCACATTACGTAGGTTGTTTTGGTACCTCACTGAACAAGATACAGGAGGTCAAACACATTCTATCAAAGGAATTTGAATTAAGTGTCTTGCTGAAGGACACAAGAAGGATAACAAATTTACCTGAGGTCATAAAGTCTGATGATTTACCAACTGAAACGTCATGGCCCCCTGGATCTACCTTGAGCAAGAAACATTGGATATCACTGTAGAACACATCTAGGAGAATGTATACCTTTAATGAGTGTGGTCAGATGGCCAAGTGGTAATGCACAGATTTTCCTCGGTGTTCCTCTCACAGTACGACCCCTCACACACTTACATCCAGGCCAACAAGAGTGATTAATATATATGATGGAAAAACTTGTTGCAAAATAAATAAAGTTTAATTAATATTTTTAATATTCAACCATCAAACCTGTAAGTATACTTTTATGTGAAATCTCACAACAAAATATAAAACATATATAAGACCAGAATATCTTCCATACCTATACAAACGAGATTCTGATCAGGTGTAAACTTGATGTTATTATATATACCAAGTGATTAAAAAGCCAGCAATGGAATATTTTATCTGAATTATATCTGTTTTCTTGCCTGATTTCAACAGCACCATAAATATCACAATTCTCAGTTACAGAGCCACAATTTCATATTGGAAAAGAACCATTTATTATTAATGTTGTTACACATTTTGACATGCTGGTCTAGAGTATGCAAAATGGACGCTGCTGAGTAAAGGAAGACAACTCTAATAAAAACAGAGGAGAATGGACTGTTGTATTCAGGAAGACCATAGTCCCCAGGACACTGACATTCTTTGGTGAGACAACTAGAAATAGGAAGAATCTAGGAGATGGAAAGCCTATAACCAACCAACCAACAATCAAGAAGACCAA